CACACATTACCGGAACTAATTTCACACAAGTTCTCATTCGTTGTTCGATATGCCAACAAAATGAGAATAATTACGTTGACATAATTTTCTTTTATCGTTGCTGTTGGGAATCGTCATCGTTGTTGTGAAATGTGTACGAGTGTGTTCTATATATTTTGTTCTTGTTTCATAGTGCCTGGCTTCCAATATGTATATTCCGTAAGTTCGAGTTAAATGATTTTTTGCTGGCTTTTCTATGCGTCTCTTTTTATTGCTTGTTGAAATTTATTTTTGGTTTTTTTGACAGAGAAAACTTTTGCACATTTTTATTGCTTCTTCCTATTTGAGTAATGACGCCACGCACACGACATTGTTGTATGGCTCTTTTTCTTTCACATTTAAAACTATCTATTTCATTGTTGCATCACCGTCGCGCAACATTTCAACATTGTGTACGGATGTTGCCGATGTTCTATCTACCATTTAGCTTCCCTGCATCATCATACATGGAAACCTAATTAGATAAATTGACGAACGAAAAAAAGAGAAGGAGATAGACGCAACGATTCAAATGTTCAGACATAGCCATAGTTGAAGCGGAACTACGACGTACACAGCATTGAAAAACTTTTTGCATTTAAAATGATTTTATTGCTTTTCAGCGAACGGGAGGAAAAGTCAAAGAAATACGAAACTTCCTCAATGATCATTATAATGAAGCGAATAAATACATTTTATACTATTTGTGTGTTGTTTCAGCGTACGAAAAAATTCGTTGCGTTTTATACAACTCTTATCACTGACACAATATATTTCCAACACTGTATCGTTTCGGCATAAATCAACTTTCATTGATTTTTTTCTCTCTTGATTTATTATTGATCCGGACCATTGGTAGCATGTGCAAAATTAAAATGTTCAATAGCATGTTGTGTTGCTGATTGAATGAATATTGAAACTGCGTCGCGCCCAAGTTTAATTATAACTGGTTGTCTAGGCGGGAGGGATAAAACGAGAAAAGAATGTACAAAGTCTGGTCTCGACCATCAATGATGGTCCATCATATAAGCTGCTGCTCGCTGCTGCTGAACAATGGGTCTTAATGCTTCGTTAATCAAATTCATTTTTTTTGTCGCTCATTCGTTATTGTTCAGCCATCGAAATCATACAAAATGTCTCGTTTTCAATAAATTCAATTTCGATGCTTCATCATGGCTATTATCCTGATGAATAGAGGTTGGTATTGAACGATGACATGCGGCGATGACTTGAACATTTTCATTTCATTTGTTTGTTTCAAATGACGTTCGTATATGTATATCAAATTTCACATAACTTTGTTCGCTATCAATCTTAGTACACGCACATTCACAAAGACAAAACAATTCATTATTTTTGCTCATCACAAGCCGAATGCTGAAATTTGTCGGAATTTCTATTGCCGACGCGCGACGTAAATGCTGTCTGATCTCTGTTTGCATCGGCGTAAACACCAAACAAAGTAACATTCATGAATAGCCTATGATGGATTGGCCAACAGACAATTTGGTATGTATTTAGCATACGCAATTGCACATTTTTTTTGTCTAGCTTTTGGTATGATACTTAAAGGACCAACATTGGTTGGAATTCAAACAATATCCGCACAATTTGTGTGTGTTTTTGTTTTATCCCAAAAAGCATGCTCAAAATGAAAATCACATTAGCATAATTCAACGATTGCAAGCCGAAACATATATAAGCCATTTGACGCCAAAAATATGCTGAACAAAGGAGAGTGGGAAACGAAACATGCTCAAATTAAAGCAACAACAATGCAAACACGATCTCAGAGACAAAGCATTGATGTTATTTTAACGAAATGCTAAATCAACAAAATAAAAACAACAATATCCAGTGGAAAAGCAATGGTCTCTGAACATCGAACACAATTTTTACGGATACTTTAGTGTGGCAATGCCAACAAATGTGGACGCAATCAATACATATGACAAAGTTATGCTGGTTTTTTTTGCAAACACATTTTCAGCGAAACAAACGAGCCGAATTTAGTTCATATGCTTAAAAATGCTTTTGAGTTCCGTTTCCACATAGGGTATTCACACATACATAAATTTGAGCACATTTACTCAATGTATTTTCAAGAGCTTTCATAATAATAATAACAATAATCGATGAATCACATTTTCGGATCATGAACACATACATTGCAAATATATTTAAGCGAATCGACCAACCAAATAATACAACAATATAGAGATTGTTTTTCGTTTCCATATAGTGGAAATATACAGAAAAAGTGAAAAACGAAGATAACATAAAATGTAAATACAACGGGAAATCTGATCGCATGTACATGGTCTCATTCAATTAGGGTGATTTTTTTGTTTGAGCGCAACAACAAAAAAAAACTTCAACGAGATATGCAATTCGCATCATCCGCCTCGACCGCATTCGTCTCATTCCATTCGCTTGAGTATGCTTTCGATGGTATCAAAATAAAAATGGTTTTTGGGAAATTTGAATTGAAAACTCTTTGGCTCGTCACTCACTCTTGTTAATGAGAATTGAATTGGATTCATGCGAAAATGGCCAATTGTTTTGTGTACATATTTTGTGAAACAAAGTGCTCACTCTTATGGAATGAAGTGCTTTGATTGACATCAACATAAAATATTAAACAAATCACTTTCATTCGATGAACAAAATTATAGATATTTTCTATGATTGTTGAAATGTTGTTGTGGTAGTTGTTTAATTAACCTGTAATAACATAAGCTTAATGAATGATTAGTATTTATGTTGCAGTTTGACCTTTGTATACGATATTTGTTAAATTTTGATGGAAAACATGTTTTTTGTTGGTGTGACATGGATTTGTTACATGCATACTTGAATTTCATAACAAGTGAATTCCATTCAAAAATTGGCTACAGTGTTTGAATTAATTTTCATGTTGTTTAACAATTTGCACCCAATAGCAATACATTGGCAACGTTTGCATTGAAGCGAATTTCTCTGAAATAAAACTTATTTGCTTATTGTTTGGTGAATAACATTTCCACAAACTTCAATTTCAAGCGGAATACTGAATTTAGGGCATTTCAACGAAATCGTATTTAATATTAGATTTGGTCCTGGGGAATACATACTTTCTGTGTATATGTGTGTCTACGAGAATGAATCTCGGCAAACATAAACTACGATGCAGGTTACAGAGGTGCTTTTATCCAATAACAGATTGTCTTCGGTGGAAATAGTATATACCGCATCAAAGTTAACCACAAATTTTTCCCACAACTCGTTGCTAGGTTCCAGTTTGTCCGTGTCATTTCTTGAATTTTATTACCTTAATACAATCTCGGAGATATTGTTTTGAATATTTCAAAGCGTCCAAATCTTGAAACAAGCTTCACCATAATCACCCAATTATATTTTGGAGTTTTTGTGGTCATGAGCATCATCATAATAATAGACATTATTATTAATAGCATTGTGTATTAAATCAACAATTTACCATCGCATAGTCTGGAGTATCCACATTGAGCAGATGCACATCATCTCTCTACGAAAGTGGATGATTGCGGAAAACCTCCGAACTAACATTGAAACGTATAAATATTGAAAATAAAGTATTCAAACGACCATCCAAATTACATACACATTCACCGGCCACACTGATAACGGATCAAAAGACTTTCATGACTCAAATTGAGTTTATTTATTCAGAAGCATGATGAAATGGCCATCGCTAACATAATAAACACGAAATGGTAATAAAAAAAAGAGAGATGAAATCTTCGTGAGCCAATGGCGTGCTGTTTAGATATAGATGTAAATATGACCCTTCGATGGCTTCATCATTCACTGCATAAGAAGCTTATCGATTCAATAGATAAAGCACAAGAAATTGACCATTTCGCTTTAAAATATTCTCTTTGTTTGAAATAGTCTACTTCAATTTAGATATCCAGGTCCGTTCACAAGAGTAATGTTACCCATTATGGTATGCATATACATTTATATTCATTCCGAAAATGATATTGACTTTTTTATATGGTATGCACATTTCATCCATTACATGAATTCTCCTTTTTTCTTCATACTTTTACGAAAATATAAAACTGGTATTTCCAAATTTTTCGATTTATTTCATTTGATTTCGTTGCCTGCATTAAATCCGTTTAATGTATTTTAAATATTCTGTCTTGCAAATAAAATTCCGTGTATATATGTGCTCTAGTGACAAAAACCAAAATACTGATTACTGACCGGCATTCTAAATTGGCTGTAAAATTTTATGGATTTTATTTAAAATATGAATCACCAACTTGTACACACTCATGGTGTAAGCACATTCAAGACGCTCGTTGGCAAAAATGTTTTTTTTTTAGTAGGAGTTTGTTCTGCTTTAATAATACAAATTCAATAAGATAACATTACAGTTTCGGGTCTGATTCATCTCAATTTTTGATATAGTAGCCGAAAATAAGTTATTCGTATATGTTTTACGACGACGGTTTATCATCAAAACTGAATTTGATGGTGAAATTTCTCGACTAGGCCAATAAAATTTGACTATAGAAATTGAATGTAAAACAAAGAAAGGGTAGTGAACCTAAACGATTTATTTTGAGAAGATTAAGTAAATGTGCCGAAATAAATCAATTGATATTAATATATTGTCAGTGGTTGTGAAAAATGCATGAGACCTAGGCCTACTGGAAAGCTCATTAAATTAAATGATTTGGAAGTAAAATGTGTGACGTAAAGCAATTTAACGCGTACATCTCGTACGTTAACAAATCCAATGATTAATAACAATGATGTATTGTCGTATGCTGTTTTACCGAATTTATCTCTTTAATGTATTGCTTTGTATTTCGCTTCATTTAATCGTAATTATATGGCATTTACATTTTTATTTAGGTAATTTCACACTTAAAGACAACGATGACAAATTTCAAAGTGAAATGTTTGGGTTGAAAAGGGCGAAATAAAAAAAATACGTGCAAACTTACCGATTGTGGTGAGCACGGTTAGTGAATATAAAAATGCGCGGGCCAGAGTCCATTCGTGCTCTTGCATTTGATAATATGGAACGATGACGGCACCAGTTGCTGGTCCACTGCCTTCTTGATGATGCTGATGAGCATTCATTTCGTCGGTTAATTTTCGGATTAATTGATCCTGAAATCGGCTTATTTCGAGTGCGGCAAGTCTGCAAATAAAAACACAGTGATTAACATGGATGGCATTTTGTTGTAAATAGAATGGGATTGATTGCGATGAAGCGCTTACGGTACCTCGTCCAATTTTCACGATATAAAATATTCAATGACACAGTAATTTCCCAAATATTTTCGACAGTTTTTTGGCGAGCTTCCAATGCTTCGGCGGCAGCAACTTCGGATAACGTTACATTTTCAGTAGCCGTTGTTCGAGATTGTGACGATGACATTCGATGACGATTTGTTGAAGCCAGCGTACGTTGTTGCATTGTCGATGCACCACCTTCGATGGCCAAAAATAAAAACGAACCGAGCAGTGTATAACCGAACAGCAGTGAACATATACCTAAATTCATTAATAAACTAATCCAGAAGGATCGGGCTTTTGGGCCCATGCAACAGCACCGATTTGCATTTGGATTTTCATCCGGTTTTTTCCCTTTTGTTGTACTACCGCCAATTTTCAATGTCGTTGGCGGATCACATGATTTACCGCTATTGTTTTGTTGCTTGGATGCTAACGGTTGATATGGTTCATAGCGATATCTTGTGGCGTCTTTTTCAGCCATTTCGCTTCCAAAACTCTCACTCAATATGTTTAAAAATCGAAAAGTTTAATTGCACACAGTTTTACTGTGATATTCAATTTGGCATAGAATACCACCACTTATTCTTTATTCTATTATTACTTTATCGTTTGAATTTGTATGCATTTCTTGCAATAATTTTGATGTTTTTCCATGTTTTTCTGTATTTTATTGAACTGGTGCAATAATATTATTTATTGTCACTCTTTCATATTCTATATTTCCATCCGAATTTGCTAGATGTTTCAATTTCATCCAATTCTACGGTGATCGCTCGCCAGTACAATTTCAATGCAACTGAAAAAAAAACATACAAAAAAAACAATATGTTAATAAAATAAATGAATTCGATTTAACGATTACATTTTTATGCAATTTTTTTAAATCATTTGTATATTTTCATTTATAGTTCAAGAGGCAAAGAGTAAGAATACATGCACCGAGTGTTTGGAATAAGGTATTTAAAGTACATTTAATTCAAAGATAGAAAAAAATTATGGTCTTGATCATAACAATACTCAAGTATTGAGTACGAAGTATCGCAAGTTCCTTGCATGGTTTTTTTTTTATAAAATTCCTTTAATAACGAAAAATAATTCAATTCAAAGTGGTTTTTGTCGTCAATTGCACATGTCGGCTGCTTGAATAAGATTTCATTCACCCACTTGCACTCAACATACATATGCAACCGATTTATCCATTTCGTGGAATAGGATTCGATAAAATTCGAAAAGTAGATTGTAAAGCAAACGAATGTGCGCATGGGAAATGCAGACAAAGAGAGAGAGAGAGAGAGAGAGAGAGAGAGAGAGAGAGAGAGAGAGAGAGATGAAAAACGCCGATTCTATTGTTGAATATGTTCGCCTCAGTAAATCCACACACGGTTTCAGTTACTGTGAATTGTCACAGCTCAAGCAAAACGAAAGCCATAGCATTCGAAAAATTTGAATGTACAATTTTCTTTCGTTCTCTCGACATGAAAATAACGAATGTTTTTTATGAGCAAGACGGCGACGATGAGCATGAAACGAAAATTGATTTTTTTTTGCCTTTTTCGTCTTGTGCTCATAGAGTGTGTGCTTCTCATATTTTGTCGCTTGCGAAATCTAAAGAAGCGAAGGAGAAAGAAAAAAAAACAAATGCACAGTTTAAATAAAATTGCAAGAGGAAAAAAAGTGAGCAAATAAAGGGCATTGGGAAGGTGACATAACAACGATTCGATGGTTATGTGGTGGTGTACCAATGGCAAATAAAGCGAGAAACGAAGATTATTTTTGTCAAAGCAGATTCCATCCTTAACTCCATAGTAGCAACAACATACATATTATGCTCAACGCCAATTTCACGGAATGGAAATGAGCAGAGAAAAATTCAAATGCAAAATAAATAGTAACCGTATAGTGCATACACGAGCCGAGGAAGCATATTAGATGGAGGGGAGTCTCCGAAGGAATCTAACTATATTGAAGTTGGAAGAAAGAAAGCATCAAGTTGTTGTAGGAATACAAATATTTTGTGAGTTGTGAGTAGGAACGGTAATGTTGACAGCCAAAAGAAATATTAAATAAAAGGGAAATAAGAAGTGTGGATGTAGATGAAAGTAAATACATTGATAATGTGATCTTGGGCGCTACAACACCGAAGTCTTCGAATTGAGCATAAAAAGCCTTGCAATTTCAATTTTGTTTGCACGCAGGTATCGTCCTCATGATAAATTGTATGTGGTTCGAGGCACTTTATGGCATGCACACAGTGTGCACAGACACATACATGAGATATACTATTTTCAATCTGCTTGTTATAGTGGAAAAGATGAGACTACTTGCAGTGGGAGAGCGAGAGAGAAAGAGAAATAGAGAGATAGTATTAGTTCTGCATACAAAATCACATTTTACGATGGTAATCAACAATATTTTTGTGAAAATGAAATGCAAAAGAGGAACATAAAATTTAGATAATAATCGAGGTGATTCCTTCATTTTGTACTCAATGGCCGAGAGGGAGTGATAGAAAGAGCACATATGCTGTTATTATGGCCATTCACAAGTTCATGTGAACGTTTTAGAAAATGATTTAGAACTATCAATTCGAAGAAAATGCAATTTATTCTAATGCACTTCGACTTTTTCCCATTTCACACCATATGCTCCTTAATTCTATGGATTTTTTTTTCATCTAACAACCATTTTAAGAACGAAAGAACGTGGAACGTAAAATATATTTCAATGATTGAATAACCCGAAAGAAAAATATTCATTCAATTCAAAGTGTAAGGTGATGAGGAATGGCTTGTGTATTGTGTTTGAAGATATTTTGAAAATATTCGTGCAATTTCTGACTAAAATTGAATACAACAAAAGATCCTTTTCCAAACTGTCGAAGACACATTTTAGTTTATTCCAGTTTCAAAAGCACAGTCAAAATAAAATCAAGTGTGGTTTGCTATTTTTGAGTCCATCATAGCCAAAACTCTACTACTATGTTTGAAAACATTTTGTACTGCACTTCAAAGTAACAGCAATTTTTGGTAAAGCTAGCCAAAACATTCTGGTCATAAATGCAAAACTTTTTCACCGAAAAGCAATTATGATGCAGCAGTGAAAACGAGCGAATTTCCACATTACTCACAGAAGCAGACATTTTAAATCAACTTAATGTAATATGGTTTATGAGTTTTTCCAGAAGTGCCACATATAAATATATTTTTCATGCATCATCTATGTGTTGATTTATGTTTTAGTCATAAAAATTTGTTTACATCATTTCTTGTTCAGCTTCGAAAGATGAGATGATGATTGATAGAATTTACTGTTAAAAAAGATGACTATTTATTTGCATCGCAAAAAATATGTGCACGCATTTAATATATTGTTCAATGAAGAAAATATGAACAATTTCCAAGAAAGTTATTTATTTTCACTTTCACTTTATGAATCAAATTTAATATCATGTAATAATAACATTTTCTGCAAAAATTTGAGAACGCGTTCCAGATGCTCTGACGAATGTGTCGGTGAGCAATTCATATAACACGTGATATATTCGCAAATAGTTGGTACGGGGAAAAAATGCGTATTACAATTCTTTCTCTTTTCTCTCGTTCAATCTAATTAAAATTTTCTTCGTTTTCAAACAAGTTCGTTGCGGAAGTTTCCGTATTAAAAATGAGAAAATGTGCGAAAGTTAAATGGAATCTTGTGTTACTATTTAGAACTTATTTAATGGAAGTTTTTTTTTGTTAGATATGAGCACTTTTTTACCTTCGTGCCAGGCAATTGCTCAATACAGAGATGAAAAAAAATAATCAAGTGAAGACATACCAATGGAGAAATGCATACTTTAAAACTACTTTATAACTATTCATTCCATTTGAATCAAGAAAAAAAATCCTCATCACTCAGATCGCTTTGATGACATTTGCTTTTGACGATGGAAACTTGTTTTACTTTTGCGGTTCTTAATGGTGGCTTCATTTTCACACACACAAACTTTCTCACTCTTTCTCTCTCCCTCTCTCTCTTCATCACTTCATGTCTATTTTTCTTCTCTGCAATATAAATTAAAAAAGAGCGCATTGATTCCATAGATTCTGACCAGGGGGTCCAGGGTACAAAATACCCCCCCCTGAGCAACGAATTTACCCCCTCTGTGATTTTGAAAGTACCCACTCCCATTTTTATTTTCGAGCAAAAATTATTCCGATTTGCTGAGGTTTTTCAAAAATTCAATTTTCATATTCGAATGTCCGACTAAACAAAATTTATTTATTCGCCGTAGACAAAACAATTAAGTCCGGTCAACTGTTTGATTATTTAATTGATTAAGTTCGATCAACTATATTGTTTATGTCTCAGTTTTTGCACATCTGCATTTTCGAATCAAATTATTATCGGCGATTGATATGATTACTCCAAAGAATTTAAATTCATTGCGAACTCACCTCGAGTCGAAGTGTGTAACAACTTCAAATAGACGAAAAAAAGAGAGTTTACAAAAAAAAATTGGAAACTAGTAATAATGGGTGGATGTCAAAGTAGTTGTACGAGTGCTGATGTTATAGCAGAAGCCAGATTTTCACGGAACGGCAGCATAATTCTTAAAAAAGAAGAAAATGTCAAAAGATTCAATATCGACACTAGTATTAGTGACTTTGGTTTACAGAAGGTAATATAGTGAAATATCATATCATGATTTCATCATTACTTAAACTCTGCAATTTCACTTTTAGTTCACTGAGCAAAAATAAGAAGATTTATCATATCAAGTTGAAATCTTTCGAACAGTGCTCGTATTGCCAGTTGGTAGCGCTGAGGCAGAAAGAGGCTTTTCCATTATGAATCATTTGAAAACCTCACGGCGGTCGAGATTATTACCAAAACATATGGAAGATATAATGCGCATTAGAATAAATAGTGTGAATGAAATAGAAAAGTTCGCTGCAAGCAAGTACGCAAATGAATTTATAAAACAAAAGCATTATCGAACGGATGACCCGAAAGGTCGCCGAAACAAAGCTGTATCTTTGACAGAAGTCGAGGATAAGGCAAAAAAATTCTTGCCGAAACCATCATTTTTGTGAAATCATCAAATTAATTACATATTAATGAAGTGGAAATGAAAAAAAACTTGTATCTTTAATTTTAATAAAATAATGTAATAATATTAGTGATTACTGGAATATGTCATAATAAAAATTTCAAATTTTTTTTCGGTCTCAACTTTTTTTCCGAAAGCAAATTTACACTGGATAGAATGGACTTTCAAAATTACCCCCCTTCAGATTTTCTCAAATTACCCCCCCCCTTAAATCGTCAACTCCAGAATCTATCAATTTGATTCGCATTTTGCGTAATTAAATTCCATTTATTTCGAGTAAACAACTTGAACAAAAATGATTTTTCGCTGAAATGCAATTTGCTCATTTACTTTTTTTCTTATTCAATTTCGCCTTGGTTTTCACTTTTTTTTATAACTATATTCTCCACTTTCAGAAAGACTGTAGCTGGTTAAAAGTGAAGTCCTTTCTGCATCCACAAAAACTAAGACAGAAGGTAAGCAGGAAAATGTGGAAAAGGGATGTTTTAATGAAATGTTGCAGCAATTACTGAATAAACAGTGAACATTTAAACTGTGATGCGTGGTTTGATAGGAGAATATAATCAATTCGGTTTTGGTATAAAAACCGAAGAACAAATCGTGGCCGGAAGATTGGCAAAGAGTTGAAGTTTTATATAAATATTGATTTTATACGACATTGATTGGGGTATTTGACATGAACGTTTGACATAATTGCACTT